CTGACATGTTGTAGTTCTTGGTAGGAGATCCCCACAGTCCACAACATCCGGGGGCATGCAATAGTGTACCTCTTGACTGAAGAGGTCCTCATTCGAACACTCGTGTGGATAAGCAACGAAATCTACGCAGTTGTAGAACATGTAGCAGTAGGTCTCGTGGGGATATAGACCTTCGGATGTTGGACATTGAAAGCCTTCTCCACCAGTCCTAGAGTCACCACTTCCTGGCGTGGTTGATTGAGTCCCTTCAGCTGCAAAAACGAAAACGTGCATGACGCACCATGTACAATTCGTGGTTTACAGAGATTAGATGGAACGCAGAAAAGTAGCGGGCGATTTGATTTGCTTCACGAGCGAACGGACACGCTAACTGTAGTTAGTGAGACTGAATCCTGAGAAGTTACATGGAAATAAAATGTAGACAATTTTCTTAGCTGTTGGTAAACCTTTGCTTCAAGGGAGGTATGATCAAGGGTAGGAAGGTTTTGACTTCGTACAGGGTGTACTGCCTGTGGGCCTGGGAAGTCTGTCTCCGCAGTCTACCGATTCGGGAAAGTCGCAATAAAAGATGACATCTGAAAAAAGCCAATCGTCTGGGCAATCCATTTCGACCGGTACACTTTCGTGGCATCTGTATAATTTCCAGCAGAACTCTGGGTGAGGGAATTTCCCGCCTGGCAAGGGACAATGGAATCCCTGTCCATTCATCATTACAAATACAAATAACTTGCGGCACGGAACTCCAAGAATGGGGCACCTTGAAATAATTACCCAACGATCGATGGATGTTGATGTGTTTCACTAACCTGCGAAGAATAGTACCGACAATAAAAGTACTAACAACCCCTGTTGCATGTTGTGTGCTGCTACACGATCGCTTTTGACCAGAGCGATGGAAAGGAAATAGACTGGGTGTAGGATATTCCTCTCTCTCTCTTCTGTGAATCCTTATCGGGAGAAGCACTTGATAGAAGGATGCCAATGAGGATTTCACATCTCCACTCTAAACCAAGGAGGTTTCGCTCCAAGGATACAACTACTTGTGTCATTGAAATGTGGTCTCCCTCGAGGGGCTTCCAGAAATCAATGGAAATCTTTTATATTGCGCATCACATATTCGTGAGATAGCGAATTTTGTCACCAATATGCTACAATGTTCGTACGAATGTAATTGAAAATGTAGGATTTTTTCAACAATGTTGTTGTCGTTCAAGTAATTGTTTACGTAGTTGAAGCAATTCATCGGAGTTGAGGAACAGGAAAAAAAGTTCCCTTTTTTTTATTATCCCATCGTGAAAGAAGTTCAATGAATCGAGTTAGTGGAGGGAGGACCCACTTCTAGGGGGATGATATTGCGAAGTAATATTCGCTGCTAAACCTCCAGAACTGCCACGATTATCCTTGAACGGCACTGGTCTCGTCACACATCCCGCCTCACTTATATTTGCACAGCAACTGATTATTGCATTACAGGGGTACCTTTCATTCGTGTCTTAAACGAAAGGTGTACATCATACCGGGAAGGGTGAATTTCACTAACTTTCCATAATTCATAGTTGACGTTACGATGTCGCACTTAACCTTGAAGAACATGGGCACCTATAGAACTTCTCTTATAACGATTTTGGGAATTGGTCGGTTTGAAATGTTTGAATATTCCATATTCGAAAGAAAATGTAAATATAGATACTCCCTCACTCATGCCATGCCGCTTTGTACATGCGGAGTTGGCAACCCTATTTTTGGTGGCAGTTGGTAGAGTTATTGAAGTCTCCAATAGCATCGGAAAGCTCTGTTTAATCCCAAACGAATGGTGCTAGCCATTTTGCAACACCTGCAGCGAATCAAAGTGTTTTCCCACTTGCACATACCTGGATCGAAAAATTCGAGCGCAGAAACAGATATATTCCTGCTTACTTTCGTGACTTATACCGCAATAAAAAATTTCGTCACGCGAAGTCGGAATGAAATTTAAATCTCAAATATTTTTGTAAAGAAAAATGTAAAGACAGACTGACCTTTATAACTAAAATAATTGTTGAAGTAGGCCTCAAGTTCAGTTCTTCTTGATTGCAGAAAGGATTATTAAAAGTGGTTTTCAGACTACTTCATATTCAACAGTTGTACTACTCCAATTGGCTCATAATGTAGATATACCGATGATTCAGGATGGTGCCATTGCTGGGAAGATCAAGCATAAATACACATGGCGCGGGATTCGGTACCGTTCATTCATTCCTAACAGTTTAATATGTTTTTTTTCCCCACTTGACTCGTGCACAAGTTGAGTGAAAAACACAGATCTAAGGTCAGCCGTTAAATAGGGGCGTGGTTCACACCGAATAGAGGCTCCAAGCGGACAATGCTCGAACCCGGTACATGTAGTCGAGTGTGTACGTAGGTACCCGGTACCCACCGTACACGTACCCCCGTAGCGGAAATGTCTGTGTTATCTGTGGCACCCTCATCGGTGGGCCAAGTGTGGCTTATGCGTGGGGCACATCCATGACTAAAAGAGCCTAGTTAGTGTGCTTGTAGTGGAAGCATGGCACCAACGTGGTGCATGAGTGGGCCATTCCATAAATGTCCGCTTTTTCTGCGGCAACCTGCTAAAATGGTGGAGATATTCCTATCTACAGTACTATCATAGTACTGCTGGTACTGGCATAACCCTCTGCCCAAGCATGAGTATGGACCATAGATAGGCGCAGGGGCGGCTCGTGCCATGGGGCTACAGGGCTGCAGCCCCCCCCTAATCATTAGGTCCTGATGCTACCGTATTCTTTAAAGCATCCGTTAATGTTTCCTCTCGCCTTCAGTCGTATATTGTATATGTGCGTGAAAAATCCATGTCTGCCAAGTGTGAGCCAAAGGTGCAAAAGTTTCCTGTGCCACACATGGTCTAATAACCGAAAAGCCACAGAAACGCCGCAACTGCCGCACATACGCCGACCTATGGCCAAATATGCACTGCTGATTGGGTACGCTCGGTGGCTGTCGTATGTCCTGAGGTCTTAAGTTTCCTCTTTAATTATCTATAATCAACAAAACTTCAATTAACTCGTACAGGAAGGTCCCATTGTGCTTTCTAATGCCAAAATTTTTTTCCTCTTTGCCTGTCGGCTAAAGGTATTTTCTGCTATCACCAGGAGCATCACAGAAATAATTTACCCAAAAACTTCAATTAACTCGTACAGGAAGGTTCCATTGTGCTTTCTAATGCCAAAATTTTTTTCCTCTTTGCCTGTCGGCTAAAGGTATTTCCTGCTATCACCAGGAGCATCACAGAAATAATTTACCCAAGACCTGATTGTATTTGATGGATTCTCGACCTCGAAGAATCGTCCTGGCGGATTCATCACGGAAAAGTGCAAGTGTAGCCTATCGGAAAAGCTATTTTACGCCATGGTTCACCTTCATTTTCATTCACGGGTTTACAATTAAAAAAAAGCAGGAAATGCCGCCTATGGATCATTCATGCAGCACCAAAATATCATTAGAGACAGAAAAGACAAGGAATAAAATATTCCTTAAATCAACATCGTTGAAATGAGAACTTACAAAACTGATCACAGATATTGGGATTTGAAGTCTGCTTTTTATTAAGAATGAATAGTCGAGAGCATCTGTAATTATAATTTCCTTCTTCAACTGGAAGCAGCTGGAACACATCAATGATTGAAGATCAACGATCAACATCATTTACATATTAATGTCTTCCCAGAGGTGTGCAAAAATCCCCGGGGGTGTCACAAACCCCAGTTTCGGGGTTGAACCAAGAATCTCCGGGGCATTCCTGAGAAAGAAAGCATATGGAATTGCGATGAAGAAGCGTTTGTTGCTGCCATGCAGACGAATCACCTTTCGATAGAGTGCATCCTGGGACTCACAAAGTGGGTGGAGTTTCCTTCCACGCATATGTAGAAGTGTTCACATGATTCAGGGTCGGGGAAAAACCCATCAAGTTCAGGACATTCGAATTCTCCGCTGCTCGTTGTTGTTTTATCCGTCGACGTAGGGGATTGGTTCGCTGGTGAAAGAGCAAATTACATGCAAATGAACTACATTCATGATGTAT